TTTTTAACTTGAATGTGATCTAAATAATATCACGTATTCTACGTTTAAGTTTAGCGGGTGTGCCTCCGACACAGCCTGCAGGTCAAGACGAAGGCGCTGGACTGATCCTTTTTTTATGCTTGTAAAGTGTTCTGTGAATTCAAATTACCATAGCTTTTGTTTTGTATGTAATATGTGTGATAATAAGATGATAATTCGTCAAATGAACTACNATCTTAGCTAACTTATAATCTAATCCGAAGACAAAGATAATGCGAAAAAGAGCACGAACAGGAAGAAGAATACTAATACGGGGACCTAGGCTAATATAAAAAGTAATACAAATTTCTGAAATAAAAACAAATCGAAGTAATGATACACGCCAATGCATATATCTATTTAAAAGCTGATGGTAAATATGACTGAAATTAATATGGATCTGCTTCTCTATTGCTAATTATTAATATTTTGCAATTCATATTGATTTATTAAATTCAATTCAATACAATCAAAATGAGTATTTCATGTACCGTTTTTAACTTGAATGTGATCTAAATAATATCACGTATTCTACGTTTAAGTTTAGCGGGTGTGCCTCCGACACAGCCTGCAGGTCAAGACGAAGGCGCTGGACTGATCCTTTTTTTATGCTTGTAAAGTGTTCTGTGAATTCAAATTACCATAGCTTTTGTTTTGTATGTAATATGTGTGATAATAATATGATAATTCGTCAAATGAACTACTGAACTAAAGAACTAGTTCACTAAGGTGAGCGAACTACAACTGAACGGTTCACTCAAAAGAACTTAAGTACCCAACTCTACTATCCAATTGTTTATTTAACCATTTTTTAATACTAAAGATTTTTTATTGGTCCCCCTATGTATTTTGTGGAGGTTACCATGAAAAAGTTGTAAAATAAATAATTGGGTATTGTTTGAGAATCTATACCATTTCTACGAAAACTTGTTTTTCCCCCATATAAAATACTTGGAAAACTTTGAGCACTTTGAGCACTCCCTAAATATTTTTTGATTTCAGATAAAAAAAATTGTGGTATATTTTTTTGGGTATATAACAATCCTATTGGGTGGCGGCATTAAAATTCCGACTTTACTTTTGCACATGCATTGTTGGATGACCCTAATATATATACTACGGATAAATTATAATATCTTTCGAACAACACTTTCACTATTTCTTGACACTCCCGGCAATTTTCAATCTTTGAAGGATTGTGACCAATGGGAATAAATACAATTTCGCACAGATTTTTTTAACAGTTTATACAGATTTTAAGATTTCCAGAATTTGGAACTCCTTGAGGCTGCTCAAAAGTGTTTGCGTTCGATGAAGTCATCATCCAATTCGCCCTCAATTTCGATGTACAATTCGTCTTCTTCATCGTTTTCTAATGAAGTATTATCTATTACCTTTTCTAAAGCCATCTTCGATAAAAATTGTTCGCCATTTATTTGGTCCTCTAACAATAACTTGGAGGCTTTATCAATTTCAGAATCCCGTCGAAGAGTATTTCTTTTTCTTGGCCGGTGGCTTCACGTTAATAGGAAAACGTGTTCCGAATGCAGCATTAGCTTTATAAAGCCGAAGAGGTGCGCATTTTTAAACTGAAAACCGACAGTTCATTCAACATTTTCTAAAGGTAAAGCACAAGATTTAAAAAAAACTTGATAAGTCAAACAGTAGCTTCGAAAATATTCGAAAATTGGCTGCAATAAAGTAAAACAGTTGAAATTCATCGCTTGTGCTACTCCATCCATTATTTTATTTCGTGGATGATGTGGTAAACACAATAATCTCATATACATATATAGATCGTCATGGGTTTTGGAACATTGACAATATGCGTGGGAAAAATTTCAGATTTTTTTAAAAGTGGAGTTCATCTATTTGTGCAGTGAGGGAACTTATTTTTGACATAACTTCCATGAATCAGATCTGTGGAACTAATTAGACTTTACTTCCATGGACCAAAAATCGATCGATGGTAGTAATTTCACGACTTAGCTTCCATGGAACTTATGTCAACGTTCGGTAGAAGTTATGTCTGTGGAAGTTATGTCGAAACCCAAAGAAAAATAAGCGAAGGCAGACTCTTAACAAAGTTGACGGCGAAGAAAGGCGCGTAAGCTGATGTACGCGGTTTGCGGCTGTAACACTATGTAAATTCCTCAAAGAGTATTGGGGAATGAGGCTGAGGTGACAGTCCTTGGCATCTTTCTTCGCGTCAACTAGGTTACGCGTCTTTCCTCGCCGAAGTTTTACTTAAGAGTATTTTTTCGTAAATTTTTTTTACCCGTCTTTTTTCGCCGTCAAAACACTAGCATACCTTTATTTGTATCTAGTGAGGATATAAACTTTAACAAAAAAAACTTCACTATATGAAAACACATAAAAATAAATGTTTTGTTTGCGATCAACTTACTATACATACCTAAATAAGTAAAAAACGTATAAATATTGCATCTTACGCGTGAAATTCTAAATATTTTCCCTTCTTCATATCACAGTGTTACTCTCGCCCGAAAAATTAAAACTATCGATACTATCGATGGTGCCATCTATTGTTTAGCAGCTCTAGCGAGGAATAACTTCGAGTAGCAGCATCTTCCAAAGGGTCCTAAGGATTTTAGTTGTCCGTCAAATCGAGCGGAGGAACGCTTTAAGTGATTTCTACTCAATTCTTTATGTTCAATGTTAATGTTCAATTTCATCTTTGAAAAATCAATAATTTTTAGAGAACATGATTATTGGTGGTCCGGGCTTTCCAGCCCGAATCCAAATCCGAATAATCGACGAATACAAAAGCGTAGCACTAAGTTCATAGCCTCTTTAAGTTTTCTGTATTTTAATCGAAAATGCAGCTGAATCTTGTATTGATTTTATTTGATATATTTGGTATTAATATTGTCTATAATTTTGTGTACAACTTTCTAACATAGGTAATATTTATTCAACCCAAATAATGATTTTAACTGACTTATAATTAAAGTTATTTATTGTATGTAGTAATTATGGAACTAANATTTGATATATTTGGTATTAATATTGTCTATAATTTTGTGTACAACTTTCCAACATAGGTAATATTTATTCAACCCAAATAATGATTTTAACTGACTTATAATTAAAGTTATTTATTGTATGTAGTAATTATGGAACTAGTTCGTATTCACTGAGGTTAAATCCTTTTTCCTTTGGATTTTAAGTAATTCTTAATAACATACTTATCTATGTACATACTAATACCTTTTATAATTTCGTTAGTAAATAAATATACCTTAAACGACTACCTACAACAAGGTACAGCCTAACTTATTTAAGTACATATGTATGTATGCACATCCTTACTAATACCTTAACTAATTCACTGCATATTCCGAATCTGAAATTGGCCGCTACTAAGAGCCAATTTTAATATGTACATACATGCATGCATATCCATATAAGTATATACATAATTATACATAGGTGCATAAATACATAGACACAGTTAGTCAGTTTTATATAGTACATAAGAAAGAAAGATGTTACAGATTGGCGAATTCACACATACATACATATATATACATAAGGATGCCATACGAAAACACTCGCTGATTCTCTGGGAGAGTTAAAAAATTTGGATTTTACATACATATGGGTCATTCCATCTCAAATCACCCAGGCCGAGGGAAAGTGAATTTAAGTTTGCGATGAAACTCACAGGGATTATTCCTTGAGCTATTTAAGGAGACACGTATTTTTTCTTTTTGCTCAGAAATTCTAATTTTTTGAACAATGAAATTTTGTTTTTATGAGTACGAACGCTTCTTTTTCTCATTTTCGTTGTTGGTGTTTCCGACAGGGTAGGAGTGTGATGTAATGTGGAACGATTTTCCGTCATACCTTGTCAAATTTGGTTTGGAGACAAACCGGTTTCGGCGTTGTGCCATCTTCAGTGTCATTTTTCGTTCGTGTTTTTTTTTCAAATTGCTACATCTTTTCTGTCAAACTTTTTTATCTATTAGGGAATAGTATAAACTATTCTCAATACGAGTATCAATATGCTAAAACTCGTCGTTTGTCGTTAGAGTGAAAAACCAAAAAAGCAATTTTACTATTTTTAGAACTTGGTTTCTCGAATATATTGAACTTTGTATGTAATATTTACTATCGCACGGTGTTATACCAAACCGCTATTACTACTACTATCCGAAAAATAATTTGACCAAGATTTCAGTTGATTTGTGTATGTACCAAGTGCCTAGTTATGACATCTCACATTTCATTTGGCAATTCATCGCGTTCCTTGTAGAAAGTTGTATATAACCCTTTAGCTACAGCGGCCAACAACACATACCTGTAAAAAAAAATAAGCTAGTAAGCGCAAGCTCAACGCTCTTATGTAGGTATGGCACTCAGTACGGTAATCATACCAACCACGAGTGCATATGTATGTATACTTGAAAATAGATAACTGCGTCTAGGCCAAGCTGTTTATAGAACATTTCTTTCTGTGTGCAACTAAAACCGACCGCCGTGCTTATCATACTAAAATTAAAACCCTTGGATTCCGCGGAACACACTTTAAGAAGCTCTGGTCTAATGTACATATCTTTGTTTGTACATACATATGTATATATAGGTATGTGGAATCAAACCTGAGAACATCATTACAGTTTAGATGCGATTATAATTGAATTGCGATAATATATGNTAGGTATGTGGAATCAAACCTGAGAACATCATTACAGTTTAGATGCGATTGTAATTGAATTGCGATAATATATGTACATACATATATTTTAAGTAGTGAAATAACAATCCATATCCATAAAAAAATTAACTTTCAGAAACTTAAATACAAATTACACGGTGTTATACTGGTCATGATAAAATACACTATCTTCTATTGAAATATTGATAAGAAATGTTGAAGTGGAAAAGATAATAAAAATTGTTGTAAATTTCAGGTTTATTCCAAAAATTTTCAACATTTATAGTCATGCGCAAATGTTTTTTAAGAACGAGTTGAGAATTGAGGGTGTTAGAAAAATTTTAAACGCAGTTTCGTGAATTACTCGACGAGCCTACTCCCTATATTAGGTCATTTAAAAAGTTCGTGCAATTTTCTTTATTTTGCAACACCGTGTATAAAAATGTTTGTAATTTTGAAAATGAGATAAAAGTACTATATGTACATACATATGTATGTATGTATGTATTGCAACTGAGTTAAAAACCTAATCCCAAACGTCTGCCGCACGCCCTTGATTTCTACAGTGTGGTCAGATCATAGTCCTGTTTGATGTGTTGGAGATTCGCCAACATATCTTGTTGTTGTTGCGGCGGCGGAAGCGGTGCGTGTGTATGTTGAGTAGCTTGATGTAAGTTTGTATGAATTTGATTGTTGTTTGTATTGGAGGGCGTTTGCAAATTTCCAGGAACATTGACACCACCATTCGCATGACCATTTGGTAGTTGTTGCTGTGGTTGAGATCCTGCGTAGCTACCATTCCCGCTGTTGTTGGTGTTATTGCAGGGATGCTGATGAAGCGTTGGCGCACCAAGCAAGTTTGGCGCATCATTAGGTACGGGCATATAGGACGGATTGCCTAGAGATGCGCTGACGTCACCGATACTTTCTAGACTATCCGTTCGTAAACACTGAAAGTTGAAGAGAGAGAAAATATAATTCATAGTTAAAATGCGAAAACACAGTAATAAACCAGTTTATACCTAAAGATATTATTTTAGCGTAGCATTTCATTTAATAACACAGTGCTACAAAAAAGAATAAAGCAGAAATACCTGGGAAGTTATGTATATTTTCTGGTAGGTATTTTCGAGTAAAACCAGAATCAAAATATGAAATTTGCCAAACACCCCCCTGTAACTTAGTTGATTATGAACCGAGATTCAGTTTATTACCGGGCTTAAAAAGCAGAAACTTGGGCCTTTCGCACGCATTTTTTTTCCTTTTTTTGCCCTACGCACTATTTTATAACAAAACCATACTAGTCGTAAATTGATTGTAAAACTAAAGTTAATACCGAGTAAAGCTAGTGTTTATTTTCAAAAATCGGATGAAAGTTTAATGAGTTTTTATGAAAAACTTTTTATGAAAACAAGATTTTTGAAAAAATATTATTTTTGACTATACTACTCAAAAATGTTTTCTTGACCGGTTTTTTCTTAATTCAGCATCATCAGTTTCTCGTTGTAGTGACCAGCAATATTCTGAAATCATTTTTATTTTTTCCTCCGAAACGTTTTTCGTCGCTTCTGTGGTTTCCAAAGAAATTATTGCATAGCGCTACAAAACAATTCCATGCACGTCTTTCTACAGAGCTTAGCTTGTTCAAAAAGCTCACGTTGCTCATAATTTAACGAATTTTAGATCCTATGAAAATACCTAAAATTCATTAACATAGATACAACCGATGAAAAAGTACTAGATGAGAGAATAAAAAATTAATACCTCCTTTTATTTTGGCTTCACTTAATTTTGGGAACACCACTTTGAGATGACAAAAAAACGTTTTTATTTATAGTTATAGGGGTATTCTCGGAGTCTTGCAAATACCTTGCACGGTGCATGGACTGCACGAAAAAAAGCGGGTTTCCTATGGGACATCTTTGCAAATCGTGCAAGGCCTTTAGTTTAATATATCCTAGCTTTAAATGCAATAGTGGTATGACAAAATTTTCAGCTTTAGCCAATGGGACATTTAAAACGTTTTCCCGACCTATTTAATGAGGCTCACGGGATGGCCATACTTTGCGATCATAGAAAATGTCAATAAAAACAAACAGCCAAGCAAAAATTTTTGAGTTGTAATTTAAAAAGGGCGAAAAAAGTAAAAAAAAATGCGAAAAAAATAAAAAAAAGGTCTCTTAAAGTTTCTTTATTCACATATAGATCGTTCGAAAGGCCCTTCTTTTTAAACCCGGCAATAAACTGAAACTCGGTTAATAATCAACTAAGTTACAGGCTTATAAGGGCGCAAAGTACGAAAACCCGGTTTTAACGGAAAATCAAGATTTTGGGGGTGTTTGGAAAATTTCATATTCATTATTATTCATAGAAAATATACATGACTTCCCAGGTAGTTTTTCGTGTCGCACAGTGTAATCATAATAAGGCTAAAAATGTATTATGTGCCACAATTTTATGGCAATTCAAACCAGACCGGAATTTGCTAATAAATTCTGAAAGTATATGTGTTCAGTAATAAAACACTCAATGAATTTGCAGAAGTTAGCTCGTATCTTTCCTGTATGGCCTGCTAAAGTTTCCATGCCTCGGCCTAAGCTGTTTTCAAAAAAGTGGAAAAAATTGTTGAAAGGGTTGTTTTGACCCTTACTTAAAGAAACTCATCAAAAAGCAAATTTAGAAATTCATTAGAGGATTTATATTTTTTAGATAATTATTCTTCGGAAAATTTTACTAGGTATCAAGCAAAAAGTCCTTGTCACCAACGTAAATGTCTCTAAAAATTAAATAAAAAATCTATGCCAAGAAGAAATAACAGCCAAACTCAATTTTAAACAAATAAAGAAGTACACTCAAAAAGAAGCATTTCGTTAAAACAAGAAAACAGTATCCTTATTTTAGAGTTACTGTGATTTCCTTAATGTTACGAAAAATTTACTCAATATGAGAAGTTTTTCCTTAATTCAGGTTCATGCTAAAAATAGGGCGTCATTTGTTTGAGGAAGTAAATTTACTCAATATAAGTAATAATTTTCTCAATATAAGTAATAGTGTCCTTAAATAATTTTGAATTTTGTCAGTGCTGGCAAATGTCGGCTGTGCCGTCGCGTGAAGACTACTGCTTCTGGTTCTGAGATCGCACATTCGAGTCCCGTTGGAGGTAGTTAGAGTAAAGTAAGTCAATTATTTCAATTTAAATATAAATTACAAATTGTAAAATTAATATATGGAAAAACCTAAATACTCAAATACCATAAAAAATAAATTATATTTTTTTTAATATAATTTAAAAAATTACAATTNAAAAAAAATTAAAATTGGTAGATTTTACATACAAAAATTGGTAGAAGTTGGTAGATTTTTTAAAAAATATTAGATAGTTTTTACTCATATAGAATAAATGAAGGCGAATTCAGGTAAGGTAGTGTTATCAGAGTAGCTGGATTTTCGCCTTGGATATTGTTATTGTCAATATGATGTATTTGTTGAAATTCTTATTGTAATTACGCGTAAAATTTGTTAGTGGCCGTTTTGTTTTTGAACTTCTGGTATCACCTTATATGAATTCACCTTGGAATAAATTGTATTTTTTTATAAT